TCTAAAGTGAATTAAACAGTCCTTTTATTGACACTAACAATAGAAAGCACAGTAATTCCAATCTTGATTTCCATTTCTTAACATTTATACAGGCTACCAGGTTTTTTTGCTTTTTCGCCTTTTTTTTTTAAGTGATTACACAGCATAGATGTAGTTAAACCAAATCCAAAATGCATCTGCCCGCACTTTTGTCAGTGCTGCATTTCCCCTGACCTATTTACTAAGGAAAAAATTACACTGCAGATTTATGGGGTCTGAAAAAAGCCATTAGTGAGAATTTGATTTGCATAATTAAAGTATCACAGTTGAAAGTAAATGTTATTTATTATCAGAAAAAAAGGAACAATGTTGAAGTGGTGTTATTAGGTGGTCACTTGCATTGCAACAGGGAGAAAGGTCAAAAGCATTTAGCATTTTGAAAAAAGGAAAAGTATCTTCAAAGTAGGTCACTTCCAAACACCTAATTCATTCCTAACAACAATTCACTGTAGCTCCCATAATTTATGAATCCCAAGGATGCACTTAAACATCTGCAATTTCATTATTTTGCATTTCATACCATTAGCTTAACATTTTGACGAATCATTGTGCAGGTAACAAGTCGAGAAGTTGAAGATTACAGTTGCAGGAGAAGCAATGAACCCAGCTGTTCAGCATGATCAAGAAAGGATTATTTCCAATGACAGGTCATAGCAGAGGATTTTCTTGCTGTTGTTTAATACCTGTAACAGTTGAAAAAACAGCTGCTTGGTTTCAACATTTCATAATTCTTCAATGTTTTCAGGGTTTTTGTTTTTAGGGGGTTTTCTTGTGTTTTGGGGAGGTTTGTTTGGTGTGGTTCTTTCAAGAAAGAAGAAAAAAAACTGCAGAGCTCACAACCAACTTGTTTGAGATCTTTCAATTTCACAGAATCCCCCTCCTCTTTTACCAAAGCATAACAGCCTTTCATGAAAACTAGCAGGGTAGGCATACCACAACAGCCTCATGAAAGAACCAGTGCTGTTTTAAATACATTCAACATAAGGTCATGAAGTCTTGGAGCATTTCCAGAATGGCAGAGAAATATTATGCAGCCTCTCACTCCTGCCCTTCCATAGAAGTGGCCACGGCTGCCGGTAGGGCAGCATCCCTTGAGGATATCCTTTGCCTCACAGGACTTGCCTTTAGCCAGGGTCTGACCCCTTCTTCCAGTTTCCTCTCTCCTTGTAACTACCGGAAGTGATGTCTCAACTATTCTGTGACTTTCAGATTCATACACTTTCTCCAAGAGTTGCTCCATCACGACATCCAGCCATACATGCCTCTTCCATCCTTTTCTGATGCATCCCATGAGGCAAAAGGATTACAGCAACAATGTCTGCTTTTCCCTCCTCTACCTGCATTCTGCATTTTGGGTTGGACTGAGTTTAGAGAATGCAAACAGCATGTCCAATTCAGCAGTTCTCAAATAATCAGACAAGGAATACCACTATAGACTTCCTGCACCTTACTGATAACAACTCCTTTTAGAGTTCAGCACTTGTGGCACTGTAGTTTCAAACAGGCTAATTTCACTGGCTTTCCTTCATCTAGGTCAGGACTTCCCAAGCCGTGGTTTCCACACCATGCACGATGTGCAAAGCCAGTTTGAAGAGATATGTCCTAAAACCAGACCCGCCCACAGTTGTTTCTCTGGAGGAAATGAGGACGGTAAACACTGCCCATGCAGCTGAATGCTTCCTCCTGTGCCTGCCAGCAGCCCCAGGCCTGCCACCACATCTCTTTGTGTGATAAAAGTCAATGCAGAAGGTGGAAATTAGCAATCTTTGAGCAATTACTCATCTGCACAAGAATTCTTCTGCTGCTTTGCCCTCTCAGCCTGGGTTTTCACAGAATCAGGCTCTGTGCACAAAGGTATCTGTTTCACCATTCACTAATTTCACTTCTCAGCATGAAGTACAGCACCAGAGACTCTCCTGTGCCACATGACAGTGGGTCCAGCAGTCTCTCTGCCTTCCCTTTCCCTGACTTGTCCTGAAGTAACCAACAACTATTTAGTGAGGATGAGGATAATGTGACTGCAGACATGCAGCTGTGCAGAGTCATCTGACTGCCATGTGGCACTAATTTGGAAGCTAATCTGGATGAAGCTGTCATTTCCCTCATCTTACCCTCCTTCTTTCCATTTCTCATGGAAGTCTCATAGAGATTCAAATGGCATTTTTCCATTCAGAGTATTGCAGCATTTGCCACAATCTCATTCCAACATCAAGAAAGCAAACTTCAGGACATTCAACCAAGTTTTGCATGGTGGGGGGGGGTGGAGAAAAAGCAATGACAGTAACTCCCATCTCCATGCACACTTCCATAGGAAGCAGCATGCTTCCAGGAAAGCAGTCCTCTGAGCTGACACACTACACCACTTCCCCTTTCCTGTCCTGATCCCTGTGTAGGCAGCGAGGGGGAGAACCTCTGTGGTTACTGCCTTGGCCCCTTCTGCCAGGCAAGCAAGAGCAAGGAAAGTAGGGAAGAGGACTGCCCGGGCAGCAGCAGCTTAGCTACCCCTGCTGATGGCAGGCAGAAGTGCGGGGCGCCAGCTCTGCCCTCTGCTCGGGTCTTGGCCAAGCTCAGGGCGAGCCCAGGGAAGCAGCTGCCATTCCTCACTGCTCAAGACCAAGCTTGTAGGTGTTTAACAAGAGCCACCCAAAGGTCACTAAATGATTCAGTCTGCAATAAAACTTGAAAGTCGTGATGCTGTAAATCTGCCACTTGCTGTAACCACTAAATCACGTATAGAAATCAACATCTGTAATGCGTCTTCAGTTTCACAAAGCATGACCACACTTTAAATTTGGGACCTGGAATGCAAGAGACAATTTCACACCTACTTCAAGAGGGAAAATTAACTCAGGCTGAAGCTCACTGTTTGTTTTGGATAATGTTTTCATTTTAACTTAATCTTTCCGCAGCTCCCTCCCCCCCAACATATTTCCTTAAGGCCTGAGCTTCTTTTCATTTGCCTGCACCACTGAACTGTGCTCTTCAACCAATTTCCACATGTCACTACTTCAAGGAAATAAAGCATCGTCTCGATACAAGGAATTGGGAAAACTCACTGAATACAGGGGGAAACAAACATCTAAAAAAAATTGGAAAACCATGGTAAATGCATGACCAAAAGTTTCTGCAAACATGGAAGTACTTCTGTTTCTCCCAACATTTCCAACTACTGTTTTTCCTCTTGGGTCAGTGCTTGCATCATACAGGATATTTTCTTGAGAAGACACCCTAACTAGGAAAGTAACACAAGATTGCTTGAGAGCTGAATGGTTTTAAGCAGTGAATTAATCAACTGTTCCCCCTAAGAATATCCTCCTTTCAGAAGTGGTTGGGACCTAAAGTAACCCCCTAACCTGGGGAGGTTGAGGATACCACCTCCCTAACCCCTCACCACAGTCTCCTCATGTTCTCAGAATGAGAAACAAGCTGCTGTGGTCAGTGTGTGTCACAGGGTTTCGCAAATAATACAGAAAAACTGATAGGCTCTGAGAAACAAACCAGGGAAAGAGAGACCTCTTTCATTCATTCATGCTCACAAATATAAAATCAGAGCAGTAACACACAAGGTGGGAAAAAATATCCCTCACAATCTACTTGTTTCCTTCAACTCCACAGTTGTCTTAGAACCCTGATCTCTCTCACGTTTTCATCAGTATCACCTCCATAGTGCATATCAACTCCTCTCATCTGGAACACCCAGATAACTCCAGTTCCAACACTCTTCCTACAAATCTGTGCTCTACAAAAATGAGTGCACAAGCCCTCACCCTGCCTGAACACTCACTGTCCCTGGCTCCAGAAACATAAGCTCAGCAAGGAGAAAACAGTCTAGAGCTCTGTCTAATCCACACGGCAGATCAAATTTTCCTTTGTGCAAGTTCCTCAGCTTTTCATTCTCCACTGTGCATCCCTTCTGCTGCCTTCTTATCTCAACAAAAAAGTCAAAATGCCTCTAAAAGCAGACATATTTCACACAAGATACACATGGGATGACAAAGGTCCATCTTCTGCTGGAATCACTTGTGGCTTGATCATACTATGATGTTAAGTTCCTGTCAGCCCTCTCCCAGAACATCTGAAATGGGCCTAGCTAGAATTAACAACTTCAGAATGGGAAAAGAAAGGGGGTGGAGGGGGGGAAGAAGGAAAAAAATGACCAAGTGTTTGCCAATAAACCAACCATAAAAGTTCCGTTGAACTTCTCCTTTCTGTGCTTCTCAGATAGTTCTCTTTTTCAGATGGAAAGGGGAACTGTAAAAAGAAAGACTTTTCTGATCCTCTTTCCAAACTGGCATTTTGGTCATCCAGGGTTTGAGGTTGTTGTTAGTGGGTTGGTTTTTGGTGGTTTTTTGAAGGCTGAGTGCTTATTCAAATTTTGCATTTCATGGTCACATCATCCTACCATTAGCAGTGACTCCACTGGGTAACACCCCGTTCCTTAATGTTTAAAACAACGTACAGAGCTTCTACTCCTGCATTGCAGTCCCAGTTCTGACAGGATCTATGAACAGACCATTTCCCCCTGCTGCAACAGAGCAGAAGAGATGTCCATCACTAACTGTTCACACCATGCCTTGCTCAGAGTTACCACTTCCTCAAACCTGCTGATTTGTTTAGTCTAGTTATCCCTCTGTTGGCCGTTTCTATCAAAATGCCCTTGCTTCAGTTACACAGTCAAAAAACTGTAAATCTCTGAAAGCTTGATCTGAGAGGTGGAAAGCTCATGGGACATTTGCTACAGTTAGATATTGTGCATCCACAGCCTTTTGGGGACAGTCTACTCAACTGCCTCAATCTTACCCATAAAATCTCTCTTCCAGAACTACTACTTAATTTAACATAGCTAAATTGTGCATGGTCAAAAGAAAGACATGCAACATTTTCTAATCCCCCGACAAGAGGGAGGATGGAATAAAATTCTGCATATACTTACCTTCCTATCCCTCCTTCTCAAGAGCTTCAGGTTCAAGCAGAATACCTCTTGGCATTCCCCCTCTACCCTGCTGCACTAGGGCTTAAAATAGTAATTAGAACACAACTTCCAAAAAGGGCAGATCTGCCTCAGCCTGTTTGAAAAATGAAAGAGGAAAAAAAGCAAGATATCACAGCTATTTTTTGCTGGTAACACTGTAATCCAGTGAATAAAGTTGCAATTGAGTTTAACTTGGCTCCATGTCCTTTAATGTAAATATTCTGCTGCTGGCATTAAACATGTTAACATTTGAGCATATGGTCCAAAACACCACACTTTTACTGAAGCAAACATCATCAGCTTGAATAAAAACCTAAATACACAGACTCCCACAACAGAATTTCTTATTAATGGAAAACTGCTAAAAATATAGTTAATTATTTGGACTGTATGAATAGTTCAACTTAGATGGCTACAGTCCCATCATCCAAATTATTTTCAGTCACCCTGCCAAAGGAATTGCCTCTAGTTTATACTTTCATCAACATGCAAGATTGAAAGTAAGAAGAAAGACAGGACCACAGTAGGTCTGTGTTATGTGCAGAAGTTTCTTCATGTAATAAAAGATTTTAACCTCCTACCCCTGCCACCAGGTGTGAGGTGAGAGTTCTGTGTCAGTGATGTAGGAGTGTTTTACAGTAACACAGGGTAGGTCAGCAATCTCCAAACACCAGCTCAAAGGGTTTGCAGAAGCAATTCCAGTGGTGCTACTTAACTCCTGGAAGGCAGTAGCTCTTCACAGTTTGGTTCCGTGTCAGAGAACTACATGTTGGTTGGTGTCGTTCATGAATGCTCTAGGATTCAGCTGACAAAAGGACACAAGAGGGTTTAGTTCCAGGGAAAAATACTTCCTCAAGGTGAGTCGCACTTTTATGTCCTTTGGAAACACAAGGTTTGTTTTTCTGCACCTCAGCAACATGTGCTATGTAGATGAGCAAGACTTGAAGATACAACAGCATGGATTTAAGGTCCCAATATCCTACATTTTTACTATTTAGGGCATGCTAATTTAACACTTAAACTTGAGTCCTGCTTACATGACTGTGTTACAAGCAGCCACTCTCCTCCACATAACTGTCAAAACAACAGCACCATGACACAGTAGCACAGAAGTTGATGGGTAAGGTAAGTCTCTGGAGTTCTCCTCCTTCACATACCAGCCACTGCCCCTCAGTAACCCACTAATGTTCACTGCTCCTCAAGTTCTCTCAATGGCAGAACAGGAATAGCATTTAATTTTTCTCCCATATCTGATCTTTTTTTAATACTTAAAATGTTAGCTCTTTGAGGTGCTATATATATTTTGATGTACCTACTACAATGCCCTCTGATCGTGATTGTAAGTTCTCATAGATGCAGAAAATGGTTATGGCTGCAAAATTAGGTTTTTTCATTATTCATATTCTAGAAAATAGCACCTTTAAAATCAGAAAAAATAGCTTCCTAGTTTTGTTATACAGAATAGGCATTTAATTTTTATGTATACTCTGTGTCATCTGATGGGTCAGAAGACTTCAGTGCAACATGGTTTTGAAATGAATAATTTAAAAATAGACATTTTTAAATAGGAAAATTTATAATTTAAAAATTCAGAAAGCAAACCCCAATTATTACAGAAGAGAAATGGGAATGAGTCAGCTACAACTATTCACTATACAACTAATCATCATAAAGAAACCATTTTTGCTACACTTATTTTAATAAGCTTATATTTAGAAAGGGATTAGGCTTTTAAGTTAAAATGAAAAAAACCTGAAGTTTTTAGGAGCTGGTGTGCATATGTTCACTAACTGCTACAGTTTGCTTGGTCCCTTCTTGGTAAAGGGCATATCTCCCCATATCTATTTCTCTCCCTTCTCTGAAAAAATTTCTTCTACATGAGATCACTAGATCACATGTTCAGTGAAAAACATCACATGCTGTGCAACTTGCATACATTATACTTTCAGGCAGACCATAAGCACATTGGTATGATTCAGAGTAGCTATACTATATATATAACAAAGAGCTTGTATGTCACAGAAACATCATTATGATACTTTCAAGAATTGCGTCACTTCTTCCAAGAAGTATGAATTGAAGAGAGACATCTAAGGCTAATTTTCATTTCAGTTGAAGGTCTCTCCAACCATTCCAGCTCAAGATAGAGTGCTAAGTGAATCATTTACAAAGCAGTCAAAACTGGGGAGGAACACCTTTACAGGCTTTGTAGATAACAGATAAAGATGTTCCAATGACACTTAGGTCCACAGAAACACAAATCTCAAATTTCTTTTTGAATTAGGACAGGAGATGCCATTTTCTTTCCCACATTTGTGTCTCCTTGTTCTGTCTTCTTGCTCTCCCAGATGCATGACTAGCTACAACTTTCTTTTCATATGCACTTCACAATAGCTCTTACCCTGACTCTTTTCTCTTCCAGGATTTCCCTTCCACATACATAGAGCTATAGAAACGTTTTTTTGACAGGATTCCAAAACTCCTCTTGTCTGAACACTTAGAAGCTTTGTGCTGCCAACCTACAGGGTCAGAGAGACATCTGTCAGTAATAAGACTTCCTTGACCTTTAAAGTTTTTAGGCCACTAATGCCCACAACATTACTGTAACATAAACAGATACTATCCCTACTTATAGATACAAAAAGGGGGAGAGGTTAGTGTGGTTTGTCAGTCAGAAAACTGCCCAAGTAAAGAGCTAGGAATTCCTAAACTCTCTGTTCCCAAATTGTCACAGGCAAGGAATAAATAATCTAGTTAAATCAAGGCAATAATGAGACAAGAAGTAAAATTTCAGTGAACAGCTCTGTCAGGGGAACTTTGTCCTCACCTGACTGTGCCTTCCCTCTCATCTCAGCTCTCCATGGAGAGCAGGCTGCCAAATGCCACTCAGCTAGACGTGATTTTTTTACTACATAGTAGGTTTCTGAATAGCAGGATATTTTCACTTTGACTCTTAAACCAGCTTTGTTCCCAGGCCTCCTATGATTTACAGTTAAAATGTTCAGAACTCCCAGGTGGTCACGAGTTACACTTTGAAACTGGCTTTTCTGCACTCCAAAACCACCATGAATAGGTCCATTAGGGGACTTTAAGGCCTGCTTAAGAATTGAGTCTAGTCTCCCAAAGAACTCACAAGGACAAAGATGCCAATTTACACCTTGAACTTTTACCACCACTGATGCTCTTTTCACTCCTAAGATAATTACCCCATCAAACAACCCTTGGCAGATCAGTCTGACTAGAAAAGCCTGAGTCTTCAGTCAATCCTTCAGAAAGCCTGTTAGTATAGCTAACCTCATTGTAAACAAAGCTGGATGTATCCTATGTTTTTCTCCCCTCTTCAGTGCTGGGACAAGTCTTTGTTAGAAATCAGACCACTGATAAAAGAAACTTTTCTACTCCTGCCCAAGGCCACAAGATACCCTAAGGAGAAGCAGAATTTAAAGTTAATTCTTTGTATTCCAACCCAAGGCTTTTGACACCAGATGGATGTTTACTCTTTAGCATACTTAAAATGTGAAATACAAAATGCTTAAGAAAATCCCCAAACCTGTAGTTGGTATAATAGCAGCAGGCAGCAGTCAGTCACAGACAAATCAGTTTCCTAACATTCCGATATCCCTATCCTGATACACACATCAATAAATGAGCATAAAGCCAATAACAGCTACGAAGTGCAACCATTTCAGTAACTACACTTACTCTCTTCATCCCAAAAGAGAAGCTTATAGGACCATACACTGATCTATTAGAACTGAACACTGCACACCAAACCAGATCTTCAGGTCTGAAAAAAACCCCTAATTTCCAGGCAAGTATTAATATATACACAGAAGCAAACCACAAGGCATGCAACTGAACACATAAATTTGCACATGTGTGGTAACACTTGGGTAATGCAAGTATTATTCTTCCAAAGATAATGAACAAAAAAGTTAGAATTAAATTTAGTGACATCTGTGAAGAATCTACAAACTTTATGGGAAAAAGCTGATGGACAGCAGTGTTCTGGCACATAAGACATATTCTTCATGAAATTATTTTTGGCTTCTGCATTTTCCCTTACAAAACGAAACCCTTTTATGATCCTTGCAAGTAGACCAAATCATCAACAAAAATCTTTCTTTTGACCCAGCATACTGAATCACTGACAAGACTGAATCATTTTTAACTCAGCAGATCGAGAATGAAAATAAAAAGAAAACCATGCAGCACTACCTGAATTCTGCCTACAGCAGCAGAACACTTAAAAACTTCTGCCACAAGAATTAGCAAAGAGTTAATTAGCCAAAGGTGACAAATAATCACAAAGCGACAATCTACTGCAGTGAGCTTGGCTTTTTTCAGTCTACCATCTAGCCCCCATCTGTAGTTTCAGGAAGAGAGTACTTGCTGCACAGAACAGTAACAGTAAGCTGTGAGAAATCATCAACTGTGTGTGGATCAGTCGTCAGCACTGCTGAGCACCCACGTCATCTCTGCATAACCCAAGAGACTCTCAGAAAGTCAACTTAACAATAAATGCAATTGCTGTTTTCCATTATTTTCCCTCACTCAAAAGACCAAAGATTAAAGTACTATTTCTGAGCACTTATGGGATGCAATTTCAACTTTTGTATGGTAGGGAAGTGTTCTTCTTCCTTGGCAAATGCATCCTATTGACCTCTCCAGTCACATGTAATCAGCATTATTACATGTTGCTCTAACATTTAGGCATAACTGTTTTAAAGCATTTCAGTCACTCCTCTTTAGGTTTCTATTCATTACTTTTATTCACCTGACCCTCCTAGATCTGCCTTATATTCTTTCTGTCCTCTTCGAGCCAACTTTTTTCCTATTCGTTGTCTAAGTCCCAGAACTCCTGTCTGCAGAGAGCGGAACCCAGGTTGTCAAACCTGGCAGGAAATCATCTTACACTTCATAGCAAGGGCAGGAAAACAACCTTTACACCCTACTGACTTAATATTGGGGTTCAATTCTCACTGGACTAAAATTGAACTACAAGCCATTACAAAGATTCAATCCCAGTAAAAGCAAAGAGAAGCATGAAATAATACTTCGGTCAGCTTAAGACTGCTTTCTGCTGTGGTTCTCAAGCGTTAACACAAATGGTAACCACAGACAAGTTATGGTAAGGCATAACATCTCCTTGCATAACATCTATGAACAGTTCTCCCAAATATATTTCAGAATTACTTCCTATTCTTCCGGGGGGTTTCAGAGGATGTCCATTGTTACTAACAGCATGAAAATAACATCCTAACAGGGACAATATCACGCTATTTTCACAGTCCTTTTATTTTCACACTTTATAAAGAATAATGAACATTATTTCCACATAAGTAAAATTCAAACCCCACTTTCCACTGGGAGGATTGATGTTTGGACTCCATGCCAGTAAAAGGTAATACTTTGAGCAGCAGCTAATTATATAAGTAAAAAGAACCTTCACTGTCACAATAGTGAGGAGGAAAAAAGGTAACCTCTCCTTTCTCTCCAAAACACACAAAAAGAGGAAAGCAAGATGAAAAATTATCCTTTAAAGAAATAAGTACGTACGTGTATTATATGTTCAACACAGAAAAAAATACAGTTAAGATGGATTTATTTCCTGGAAGGAAAAAAAAATGTTTCTCTCCATGCTCTTCTTTACAGAAGATATTAGTATCAGATATGAAAAAGTTCTTTTCATAGAACTATTGCTACACTTAGCTTCCTGCTACAGTGAAACTAATTTTAAATACAACAATATAGGCATATAAATACAAACATACAAATATAAAACAGCCAAAATAAAATAATGTGTTTATTGCACAGACTGTTCTTTTTCCTGAGGAGATCTGAAAAATAATATTCTAATTTCTCTGTCCCATTCCTCTAATCCTCTTATAAGCAGACATTCTCTCAACAGCTATTTAATTACACTGAATTTCTGAGATCCACATTAGTAGCATCCAGTGCATTCTAGCAGCAAGGCTATGTGTAACAGCACATCTTTATATCCCACTTGGGAAAAATCTTCAGAAAATGTACACAAACACTTGTCTTCAGACTACTTTCAGCATGACAGTCATCTATTTACATACTCTACATGTAAGAAATATTTTAACATTTTCAAATTTATGGTAGTATTAGGCATTTCCAATCACTTCAATTTTCAGCTTTCCCAAGTACTCCTTGTCATTTTCTTGCACAAAGTCTAATCTGATTTAGAAATCTATTTTTCCTTCCGAATTCATAACCACATTCCAGCAATACACTTAGAAATTAAAAACCACTACTAAAATTATTTGAAGTAAAAATGAAGTAACTTCAAAAAAAAAAGGAAAAAAAGGAAAAAAAGGACAGCAGTGACCACTGTATAGGGAAGATAATTTGATTTTACACAGTGCCCTTTATTGTCCAGCTGTCCTTAGGTACTTTATAACACAGTATGCCTCGAAGGTGTAGTGCCATACAGGCAAATGCAGGAGCTGTTGTGCAAGCTACAAGAGCTCACCTCTAACAAGAGGAAACTCATCCTGAGAGGCTCCATGTGAACAAAAGGCACTCAAGAAACATTTACTTTATTTAAGAAAGACTGTACCTATAATGCTGCATGCACATAGAATTCTAAACTATAAAATAAACACAGAAAATCAGTACAGTAAAGGTATGTTAGATGCAACACATCCCTTGACTACAAAAAATGAGAGTAGTCCTTAATATCTGAGATTTATGTTGCATTTTTCATACCACACCTGAACTCTTGTGTATAAAACAATGCAGAGCTCTATGCAGATGGGAGAACTTCATCTGCTCCTAAGTGCTGTGGCCCAAACTGAGAACTCTGAAGTGACTGGTGCCTATACACTAGACAGTATACTAGAAGAGTCTCTAAACCAGGGATATCGTATCCTAAAATCAAAGAAACATTTCCAAAGGTGAAAGCTTTCTTACTAAAAACTTATTCTTTGTATAGGAAAAGTTAGTCCTCCATGGCAAGCCACAGCATAACTTTTTCAGTTCTTTATCTTCCACTTCCCTCCTATGTCAGCAGTATTAACCTTTTGTTTCCGACTCTGTACAAAGCAGACAATGCTCACCTTTGGTCTCAGTAACAAGCTGGATGAAGTTGTCTGTCTACATTATCATTTCCTCTCTTTCTACTTAACAGTTGGCTTTTTTTGTCTTTAATGAACACTGTCGTACAGACAAGCCAGATATAATCCTGCAGTAGGAAAAAATGGCAGATATTTTTACCATGAAAGTACAAAACTTAGTTCTGTACATTTTATTAAGCTTGTCTCATTGAATGAACAACTGTCAAAAGCATACACAATTCTAAAAATGGAAGCCTTCCATAAGGAAAATCCTTCCTGTATGATGAAACACACAACTTATCAAAACAGGATGCAGAACAGAGAGCACATGTGCATCCTTACTTCAATTGTTATGGCATTAGCCCTTCCTAGTTGAATTAATCTTTGGAATGATGTTGTGTTTGTTTTTTTTAAAGCAAGTATGCTCTGCTCATAACTCTACGAAGCATGCAGAGACAACTGGACACAAAAGTAAATACAACTCAGGAAATAGTCACCTATCAAAGAACATGGTAAACTCCTAAGCCTATTACATAAAGATTACTGTCTACTTGAAACAGATTAAAGTCAGGGTGGCCAGAAAAGTCCTAAGATATAAATTAACAGTCTTCAATGCACTCGATGGCTGGATTATTCCAAAATCTGGAGAACAAGGTCGAAGACAACTTATCTCCCATCTCATTCAATACTACACTTCATGAGTGGATACAAGCAATTCTGGAGTTCTGAGATGCAGAAATAAACAAACAAGCAAGCCCTCCTTTCCCTCTGTTCCACCCTACACAAAGATAGACATGGAAAGGAAACATTTATTATAATGGCAGTGTTTATTTACAAGAGAGAAGGTTTACACAAGTTGAAAAGTTGTTTCAACAGGAATCCAACAATTAGTGCTCTTTCCCATCTTCAAAAAAAGGGACGACTTTAAGATTTGATGATGCACCTCCAGAAGACTTTGATGATCACTTGGGACAAAAGTACCAGAAATCAACTAAAACAACAAAAAAAAAAAAGTACATCAAGAGTGACATGAGTTCTATACAACCAGCCGGACACAAACACTTGAAAAAGCAATATTCTCCACTTTCATTCAGCTACCTCCTCTCCCATAACAATCCCCCTGGGTGAGCTCTATCCCCAGCCTGTGCAAAGCAGGGCCCCAAAATAATATCTGTTCACTCTAACAATTAGTTTGGATGAAACAATCCTGCAATAAGTTACAACATTGTTGTGACCATCTCTGGAAAACATCAAAGACCAGGCAGATTATGTTCAGTTGTCTGTCAGAGGTCTGAGATGTAATACTTTGGTAAATAAATGCTATTTATTGGC